TGCTGTGGCTTCATCTGGAAGTACATCCAGAATGATGTCCGGAAGGTCATTCTGCTCTCCAGTCTAATTAGCATATTATGCTTTTATTATTATAGATGTTATCTATACAGTTGGGTTTCAGTGTAGCCAATTTGGTAATTGAAGATTTAAATAAATTTGGTGGATAGATTATGCAAAAATAAACACGTTTCTTTACTGCCTTTAATATGGTCATGTCCATAGTGATTTTCCATTGTTTACAAGCTTCTCTTCATTTGTGTTTATTGACATTAACATTTCCTGATAGCTGTATCATCAGTGGTCCTCAGGGTAGGCAATAGGAAAAGTTTGAGTTAAGCTGAACCCAGTGGTAGAATGAGGCAGCAAGGATAGCAAAGTGAAAATTTGTTTCATTGGAAAAAGGGCCCTAGCACAGGCCACTGAGAAAATAAGATAATTTAAATGAATGTATGCCCATTTCCCCTAAGAAATCTGAAAGCACTGGGAAATTCTAAATAAACTTTTTAGAAGAAAAGTGAATTGGATAACCTAACATAATGTCTATACTTATCAGAAGCTATTTCTCATAATTTCAGGACTGTAAGCATCTGAAGTAAATATTTATGTTTATGATAGTATGGTATAGATCAGCCGTGGGCAAACTACGGCCCGCGGGCCGGATCCGGCCCATTTGAAATGAATAAAACTAAAAAAAAAAAAAAGACCGTACCCTTTTATGTAATGATGTTTACTTTGAATTTATATTAGTTCACACAAACACTCCATCCATGCTTTTGTTCCCGCCCTCCGGTCCAGTTTAAGAACCCATTGTGGCCCTTGAGTCAAAAAGTTTGCCCACCCCTGGTATAGATCATTCTAGGCTTTATAAAATTAAAGTTAAAGACCATACAAACTCAGCTGTTTCTCTGGGGGCTCCAGGTTCTTCTGAATATTTGCTGAACATCCTATCTAATAAATTAAGAATATGCTAATTGACCCTCAGGCCATCGCAAAGATGGTGGCACCCACAGCCAATAAGGAGGGAATATGCTAATTGACTGCCCCACCCTCAAAGATGGTGGCGCCCACAGCCAATAAGGAGGGAATATGCTAATTGACTGCCCCACCCTCAAAGATGGTGGCGCCCACAGCCAATAAGGAGGGAATATGCTAATTGACTGCCCCACCCTCAAAGATGGTGGCGGGTCGCCTCCCAACCCTGAGGGCTCCTGGACTGTGAGAGGGGGCAGGCTGGGCTGAGGGAACCCCCCTCTAGTACATGAATTTTCATGCACCGGGCTTCTAGTTCTTAATAAGATAATGCTGAGGTCTTTTCTAGTTTTTTGGGTTTTTTTTCTATTGTCTCCCATCCTCCTCCTCATTTTCTTTTAATAAATGACTTTCACAAATGAAGGATGACCTGAACTTACTTATTCTTGAAATACTAGGTGTGTACCAGTTAATAATAGCAGATTTTGTAATCAAAGAAAACACGATAATTTCAAAAGAAACATCAAAAGTGCTTTATTCAAAGTAATGTCCATCGCTAGCTACACATTCCCCCATCTATCAGGTAATTTGTGGATACTGTCCCAATAGAACTTTTCTTGTTTTGAGGCAAACCATTC